AGTAGGATCCTTCTTAGAAGGACCCCAAAAATAAAGCACCCCCGAATTTCGGAAACTCCTATAATTCTTGTCTAACCGAGGCCTGTCCTTCTGAGGCTCTCGTGGGTAGCCCTTGCCTGCTTTTGGAGGCCAAGGGATGAAGGGGTTTTAGAGACTTGTGGGTTCGTTGGCTTTGGGGTTTTGGGTTTTTTTCTGTCCCGCCGGCACCTCAATAAGGGGGATTTTTGAGTGCACTTTTTTTGGACTTCTTTCTTGTTTTTGGCTTGGTTTGGATTCGGGCCGAAGGTTTCTCTTGGAGCTTCCGTTGCAGGGGGGCTTAGAGGTCGGAGGGGCAGGAGACCTGGCCTCCGCTTTCAAAGTTCAGGATTTAGGGTTTTAGGGTTTAAGGAAAAGGGTTTAGGGTACAGGCAAAGAGCCTGGCTTCAAAAAAAGGGTTTAAGCTATAGGGTTTAGACAACGGTTTCCACTCCAAAAGCAGTGCAGCCTTGCACAAGCCCACTACAGAGGCAGATAATGGTTACCCTCATCGTCCGCTGGTAACACATGTATATAGGCATGTTCCAAAATCGTTTTCATAGCTCCATCTCTGTTTCAGGCCCAACGGCTTGGGGTCGGGGGTGCTTTTGAGTTTCGTGGTGGGCCTGGGGTCAAAGCTTCTTGGTACACGTATGTCAAGGCTTCTTGAGATGTACGTCTCCACCTGCCTTCCTGCCTGCATACTTGCAAACACACATCACCGCGCAGGCGTTGAGGAAACCGAAAGTCCCTCTAGGGTTTGCCGCCGCCGAGCATTCAATACTGGTCGATCGATGCAAAGATCTTCGCCCCCCGACTTTATGGCCTTCACGCTGTGAAAGTACAGCAGCCCCCGAATCTTTAGGGCAGTCCTACCTCATCACGGAGGTGCGGAAAATATAGACCCCAAACAGGCATCATAAGGACGCCGAACGATGAGGTACGCCGAATTCCAAGAAGCCACTGTTTACTTCAAAGTAGCATAGTGCGGTTTGCAGATCCAGGCCGATCTCAACACATGCCGCCCGGGTCGCACAATGTGTTCCATCGTTCAGGTTTGGGGTTTGGAGCTTGAGAGGAAAATGGTTAGGGGTTTAAGGGTCTGGAGTTTCGGCTTTGGGCTTGATGTTGAACGCTTGGGCGGTTGGTTTGTGCATTCTGCCGCCGGCGCAAGCATGGTTGCGCCAACCAAACACAATGTGCAAGCACCCGGCAAGTGACAAGTCCAAAAGCGACCTCATCGAAACCAATCAAACGGATCATGTGCCTCTGCGTCCGTGGTCGGCGCTAAGACCTCGACATGATGGCCGTTGCTATTGAGAGGATTGCATGCTCAAGCCGATCTTTTGAACCGGAAGCAAGACCGGAAACTGAAACCCAACATCGATTACCCCTAGCCAGATGTTGCACGTGAAGCAGCCCAGGCAGTGCAGCCGATCTCTTTGAGGCCGCAGGGCAGCAGCTTTCGCTAAAGGAGATCGAGGACAGCGCAGGCACCTATGTGACATTCCACTCTTTCGGCACCTTTCAACTGAGTCGCGGGGCCTGGGGGTGAATTCCGGGTCATGTCTGAGGTTAGCCGGCATGCCATATGCATCTACCTGTCTAGATGTCTCTATATCATCGACCCGCCTATGTCATGTTGCACCAGTGTGTTACTGAGACTTCTGTTTCTGTATGTCTTGCAGCTGTGCGCTGGCCAGGTCAAGAGAGAATGTGTGGGCCCATAGTCGCCAAACTAGACCGACTTGTACAGAAATATAAACCCAAAGTGGCAAAGTCCGACACTTGGGAGGTGTCACCGGCTTTGAGCTTCTGTCCACTTTTATGTGAAGCTCCTGACCTCGGTGGACCCTACATGCAAACGTTGTGCTCCACACACACGCAGGCACGCTCGCAAACACCCACGCACGCACCCACCCGTGGACACACACAGGCAATACAGCATAACTGCCTACCTCACCTTACCTACCTACCTACCTACCTCCACCCACCTACCTACCTACTACCTAACCTACCTACCTACCTACCTACCTACCTACCTACCTACCTACCTACCTACCTACCTACCTACCCTAACCTACTTACCTACCTACCTACCTACCTACCTACCTACCTACCTGCCTGCCTGCCTGCCTTCCTACCTACCTACCTACCTACCTACCTACCTACCTACCTACCTACCTACCTACCCACCGACCTACCGACCTACCTCTCAGTCTCTGCCTACCCAACTATAAGACGCACATACATACCTTCCCCTCTTCTTACTTACTTACCTACCTACCTGAGCTGAGTCTTCCCTGAAGTGCCTGCGCGGAGTACGAACGGAAGAACGAACTGGGGGTTCCGACAATAGGGGACCCTAATATAGTACTCTAAATAAGAGGATCCTTATTATAAGGACCCCCAAATAGGGTACCCCAATATTCGGAAACTCCCAACTGTACTGCTGCATGTCCAGGCTTGGTCGGTTGGTTCGATCTCCATTGCTCCCGGGAACATGAGGACTCACAACACCAACTGCTTGGTGCTGCTTTTTACAGGAGGTGCTGAAAAAACCAGGGTTCCAGGTTCAGGCAGTTAGGGTTCCGAGCGCTTCGACCGGAGCGATGGGAGACTAAGATAACTAGCAACCACCGGCCCTCCAAGCAGGACGTGGTGCTCTCAACTTCACCGTGGGCACCCCAAACTCACTGGGCACAGCCGCTTGGGAGAATCTGTACCCTAAACCCTAAACCCTATGTAGTTGTTCAAAACCTGCTGTGCAAGGCTTCTGTTGCGCAAGGCTTAGCCAGGGACATGCCATGCAGCAGCGGCCGTTGGTTCAGCATACAAAGTCCCGGAAGCAAGCTGCCCAAAAGAAGCGGTTAGGCCCGGTGAGACCAAGCAGCACTTGAGCCCACCAGCCTGAAGGTGTTGGATGCCTTTTCGACGCCCACTGAGCCAGGTTTCCGTAGAGGCACCTACCGCAGCTTCGACGTTTTAGTGTATCGGAGTTTCAGAAAGTCAGACACCCTCGCATAGACCCGAAAACCTAGGATATGCCACAGACCCGTAATAAGAGCCCTTCCCAACTTGCTGAAGCCCAATGTAAAATGCACTCGTTCACCATCGGGGCTGAGGCATCTTTGGTGTGTTCAAGCTGCTGCACAGTCCTTAGCCGAAGCCAAAAGTTGGGGCCTAGCTTCCTCATGGACCAGTCACGCTGAGAATCCTGAGGAAGTATGACAATGAGGTTCGACATCAGATCTTAGAGCAGAGACCATCTACCCTTATAGGAAATAGGCTTGAACCAGAAGCTGTTTTGGTGCGAATCCCCAGGATTTGGGGCTAAGGCTTAGAGCGGAAAAGACTTATTTTCACACTCGCAGATCGCGCAAAATCCGGGATTCGGTTGGTAGAGTTTTGGGGGATGGGGACAAGGATGCAACAGGAGCCTTTACGAGGTGAATAAACATCCTGCTCACTTGAATCACAAGTACACTTGCTGCCTTACAGCACTGCTTGATGTGCCGAAGCGACGGCACCCGGGTTGAAGGGACGTGACAGTCTCCGGAAAATGGAGAACCTCCCACGGACGTTAATATGAATTCAAAGACAAGAGATTCCTCATCAAAAGAACTCACCAAGAAGCCACGATAAAAATAATTCCCGTAGAACGCCGTATCGGCAACGGCCCTCGAGGTGCGACTGCGGCTGGTCGCACAGACATCTACAGCTGGATTGCCTGAGCTTTGCCTCGAGCTCAGCGGCAAGGACGCTGAGTTCCACATCTAAAGCATGTTTCCATGCTTTTGGGATGGCTATCCGTGTTTAGGGGTTTCGTCTTCGGGCTTTTAGAGTGTACTTGGTACTCGAGACCTTTTTGGGTCCTTATTTTGGGGTCAGCAGTAGTCTTTTAGTCTAAGCATTGCTTTCCTTAGGGAAGCAGCCCTGGGCTAATGGTCGATGTCTTACATGAGTAGAAGTAGAGCTCTTATTCATCTCATGTCCATGATTGTAGATAACATGTGCAAAAGTAGTCAATGACAATCGAAAGCCACTACCACTGATTTCCTCTGCTCCCGCTGCTTTTTGTCACTGCAAAAACCTGTTTTGGGGGCGGATTACCGAGTGTTTGCGTTTTTGCTTGTTCTGCACGAGGATGTGGAGCAATCTGACTGGGCTCGCTTCTTCCTCGACCGCGCTCAGGACGCCAATCCGAAGTGTAGTTGCAAGACAGACCCAAACAATGAGAAGAATTGGAGATGCGGTCCACTGTTCGGGTGCGAAACTCCATGTGCCAATCCTGGTCACAAAGGTTGGATGCCATGTGGGTGCGACGATGCAATTGCTTATTTGCGAGCATGATTCTGAATCGCCTCGCATACATGCAGCATTCGCACCCTCTGGAATTTCAGTGTAATCTTCGGAGTTTCCCTTGGCGTCGGAAGCTCATGCCTGAATTTACAACCCAACATGAAGACCCTCATCCCCCAACAACACCTCTCCTTTCACGTTTCAGGTAGAGTATGGGGCAGCATCCACACCAACGGGTCCTCGGTGCAAGAAGCCACGGCTGTCGGAAGGCATGGTCTCAGTGTGTATATACATATATGTACACGGCTATATATATAGATAGATAGATAGATAGATAGATAGATAGATAGATAGATGGGCTTGATGGTCTCCCACGAGGTCCAACAAATATGCCATAGTGTAATCAGTTTCAAGTTACATGCATTACGAAAGAGAGCACCCATGGTCGCACTAGAGAGAGCATTATCCACTGTGCTCAGTTCGCTGTTCACGTCGCCTTTCCTGCGGAGCATTTTTGACTTTGGGCAGGTGCTCCCGACATCGAGGCGGTCTTCTTCCCTTCCGATGTCCAGGAAGGGTAGCGATGTCTCAGGATTAATCCTGAGCCCATCTGTTGCCGGAAGAACTAAACACGAACACTTATACATATGTGGGTGTATGTACATACGTGCATAAATAAACACATGCATGCAGACATTAATATGTGTGTACGTGTATGCATAAACATGGGTGTGCGAACACCGAGGCCCACATTTGTATATATATATATATATATACATACCTTTACAGAGACACAAGCATGCTCATGTATACAAACTACAATGTCCTGTCTGCGAAAACTGGGACACCTTAGGGCCTTTGATCTGTGCAAGGAGCTCATTCTGCTGGCGAAGAAGGCCCTCGGCGACGAAGGTGCCGCCTAAAAATTAATTCAGATTGAGTCAATATTTCAGATTGAGTCAATATTTGAAATCGATTTGATTATATAAGATATACCTATTGGATGAAATCATCGGATAAATATAGATTTCAGAAACCAAAATCTGAATATTATATATTCCATGAGCAAATGATCATCAGAATAGATTCAATTAGAATCAGTTATATTTTAGAAATTCAATCAATATAGAAAAAAGATTTTCGAATAATCATATTATAGAATCGTTTATATCAGAGAATATATTTATTTTTCATTGGCATCAATAATATCTATATATCAACATTCGTTTAGCTTGCATACAAACCAAATCCAATCATTCATAATAATTCTGTCGGCTTTCTTCAGGGGTTCTCATTTATTTAATAGCCTTCTTGATAGGTAATGATGATATTTGTCTATAGATTTAAAAATAATATTCAAATTTATTATAATTGATATAGAAATATTAATTTAATATATTTATTTTGAAAAAAAATGATATAATAAATAATAGAAAATATATTAATATATTTTCAATGATATTGATATATTTAGTTGTAATTCAATAGTTTCGAATTTTAAAATATATATTTAAGTTTATAAGAAAAAAATTATCAGAAATTGATTCAGATTCATAATTGAAAATCTTGAAAAAAAATTAAAAAATAAATTAAGAAATATATTATAATTATTATAATATTTTCATATTCTATTTATATAATTAATTTAATGATATATATTATGAATTTAGCATAAATGCCTAAATTTATAATGAGAAATATTTATAAAATTTCATGAAAATTATTGAATTGATAAAATA